TTATAATGTGTTATTACTATACGCACGTTAATTAATTATATGTCTGCTTATTACTGAATTGTTAATATTTTTATAATAACACTTCGCATTTAAGTTCTTTAAAACAAGAAAAATATTAATTATTTTCTTTAAAAATTTTAGTAATTTTCTGTTCATCATATAGAGTGGCCCTCTGGAAATGGCCAACTATCTCGTAAATTGCTAGTCATAATTACAGAAAATTTGAGGTACACCTATTTTGGGATACGGAGATTCCATATTTGATATTTGCAATGTTGCCAGATTTGTCGTTTCTCTCGTAACTTTGGTTTCTAAAATTTATCACCCTGTATATTCAGGCATTATTGGAATCTCCTATTCAATACCAGTTCAACCATATTTTTAATACTATTTTCAACTACATCAAAACGTAACAATTTTATTACAACGCAGATTAAAACATTTTTTAACATAATGGTTACTTTATCAAGTGTTCAAAATGTGCCCCATTTGTAGGTTGACAGTACCCTAATCGATTGTAGAATGCGCCTACCACATTTCTCCATGATTATCTAGAAATTATTCGAGATTAATCGATAATTCGTTGCCTTAACTCTGTAAGATTTGCTGGTTTAGTGTTGTAAACTGAATTTTTTAAGTATCCCCTATATAAATAATCTTTAGGATTGAAATCAGGTGAACGTGGAGAAGATTCAATTCTACCTCCTCTACCAATCCATCGTCCGGGAAATATCTCATCTAAATAACGCCGAACATTTACATCAAAGTGAGCTGCAATGCTGTTTCTTGCTGAAACCATATCTGATTAAAATTGGCCCCAAACAAGTTTCTCAGTGTAGATACAATTTCCTTTCTAAGTAACTTTTCGTAACTATCTGACGTTAAATTTCCTTCAATAAAAAATGGTCCAATTAACTGAGTACCAACTATACCTGACGATACATTTACATTTTGTGTTTGAATATGGTTTTCACGCTTCCAGTGTGGATTTACGCCACTCCAGTACCTTAAATTGTGTCGATTTACACTTCCACACATTATAAAGGTTGTTTCATTGGAAAAATATATTTTGTTAACGAAATTTTCATCATTTTCAATTTTATCCATCATTACCTCAGTAAACTCTAATCTACGATCGAAATCATCTTCACTTAATTCTTGCAATTGGTTAATTTTGTATGGTTTTAATTTATTCTTACGTAATACGCGTAAGACTGAAGAACGACCTACATCATGTACTAGTGAAACCCTGCGTGAGGATGTATGGTGGATCTTTTGTTAGTCATTCATAACTCTTTTCGGTTTACCTGATCGGTATCTATCTTTTACTTCTCCAGATTTCTCAAATCGCTTTACAGTTTTTTGTACCATCGCCTTATGAATAGGAGAACGGTTTGGGAAAGTAATATTGAACAAGTTGGCTGCTTCACAATAAGCTCTTTTCTGTCTCTGTACCCTCTCATCATTAGAATAGTAATTCTTTCCTTTTCATTAAGAGCCATATTTGGCAGAACTTTTTGAAACACAACTACTGTCAGTTTTAATTAATAATGTAAATGGTGAACAAATGTTAAAATCACAGCATTCTACATTTAAATTTATTAAAATCTACATATTTTGCACTGTTTTATGTATTTAAGACCTTTCAGACTACATAAAATCGTAAATGATACATATGGTTGAACTCGTATTGAATATTACAATAATGAATGAATATACTGGGTGATGAATTTGAAAAACCAAAGTTACTAATAATATAAGACAAACAGCAAATCTGGCAACATTGCAAATATCAAATATGGAATCTCCGTATCCCAAAATAGGTGTACCTCAAATTTTGTAAAATTATGACTAGCAATTTACAAGATAATTGGCCGTTTCCAGACTTTTGGGCCATTCTATATGTATGCCTATTATGTATATTACGGTATACCGCAAGGTTAGTACACTCGTCTCGATTTTTCGTATCACCCTCAATAGGATTTCGGGCCCGTGGAAAACATCATATTGAGTGATAAGAAGTATTCAGTTCAAAAAAATGTCGGAAATGCTCATATTAGATCTTCTTCGTCTTTAAGGTCAAGATTAATGAAAGGACAGGGTTTGGTACAAAAGTTTCACAACAAAGTGCAGGAGATGAGTAGTGTATCCCCCGATATCAGATGTGAATAAATTTGTTGATTTCTGTTATTACTTTTATTGACTAAAATTTTTGAAAAATATACCCAAACATATTTAGGTAAGACACACCAAAAGAATGTAGTTGAATAATAAGACAAGAATCTGAGATGAGTTTAGAATCTAACAAAAACACCAAAAATTGAACAAATTGACGAGGCAAAACTCTATTCCCAACTCTTCCTATCTACCAAAATCTAAAAAATACATACCTATACCTTTCACTCTCATGAACTGAATCCTAAGCTTTTCCTACACTAAGTTTTTTTCATGTTTTTGATGGTCCTAATAAAATCCTATTCATTCAGACCTAAATAACATCCTGATTATGAAGAAGTTTTTGAAACATTGTCGCTTTAAATTATCGTCAAATTAATTCCACTATTGTTTACTTTTTTATAAGTTTATCTTTCATTTATAGTAAAACATTTATATTAAACATTAATGTTAAATTAATGACTATTCTTTGACCAACCGAATTTGAGATAAGCGGACATTTCAGCTCCAACGTCACATAAGATTAACCTTTAGCATTTGGTAAATTAAACTGTGTTTAAATGGGACCTACCCATATGCCTCAAAAGAAAATTCTTTGACCAGAGTTAGTTACCTGTATCCACTTATTGAGCAGAAACATTGATACTCACATATCAAGATTCGCGTGACTCAGAGATCAAATCCCAAACCAAGAAATGTGTCATAGAACAAAAACAATAAAAGTTATCGAAAAAATCACGTTGCTAAAACGGAATTGGACAGAACATGAAGCCTGATTATCTGACAACCGATGGATAAAACATATTGTCCTCCAAGACAGGAAGCACTATGGGGCAGAGGCCGCCTACCAACCAAATGGACTGAAGGCCTGAAGAGTGTTAGCTGGATACAAGCCCACAAGACAAAGGCAAATGGAAAGAGCAGAGGGAGACTGCGTCCAACAGTTGATGATGAATGACTATTCTCCTACATAGTTTTTGTAAGTATCTAAGAATGTTTTATCTGCATTTGTGATTAAACTGAAAATTATTGAAACAAATGTCTTAATCCTTTCCATCCCTTATAGGACGGAATCTTAGATAATTTAGTTAGAAAATTAAGATAAAAATGTGTGCACAGTGGTGCAACTTCTTATCCATTCTTTTTAATCTACAGAAACTCATCTACCAGAAAGTCTTTAATAATCTAAACAACCTGAAGTACACGACATGATTTTAAGCACAAGCACTGTTTAGAGTATGTTAGTCAGGTCAGTAAGAACTAAAACCGTAACATAACTGGAAAAAATAGAAAAAGGGGAATATTTACAAAAAAAAAAACAATAAAGATCAAAACATTATTATAAATATAGTGGCATCCTAATGAACGAGAACATACAATACAATCAAGAGATTATATCTCTATAGAACAAGGTACATAAGATTTCATAAAAAATAAAGTAACATATCACTTAAAACTTTTACTCTGGGAAGCATTTGACAAGATGAGACATGAGCAACTTATACAACTTCTTGAAAACAAAAACATGATTTCAAAGACACATGAATAATCACTAAACTTTACTATAACCAGAGAGCTACCATATAAATTCAAGAAAAATCAGCAGAAGAAATAAACTTAAAAGAGATATCAAGCAAGGTTGTATTATATCACCAACTCTACTAACCTATACTTAAACACATAATTAAGAAGATGCTTGAAAACAAAAATATGATATAAGAATCAATGGAATTCCGATTAAAAATATTAAATACCATTATCGTTGCAGAAAATCTCAATGATATACAAAAACTATTAAAAAAAAAGTAGAAATAAACGAAGAATATGGCTTAACACTAAACATAAAGAAAACTAAATTTATGGTATTGAAGAAAAACATTCATATGAAAATCCAAATTAACAATGAAGATATTGAAAAATATATCACCTGGGAACATATGAGATTATGCAATGGAAATTACAATAACAATTAAGAAATTGGGAAGCACTTTATGAACATGAAAAGAGTACTAACCAGCCAAGAATTGAGCTTAGAACTAATAATATGAATAGTAAAATGTTATTTTTTCTATATATGGTGTAACAACATGCATCATGAATAAGTACTGCTGCAACAGAAGCATGTGAACTATGGACATAGAAGAATATTGAAAATATCTTTCGAGTGATAAAATAACAAATCCAGAGGTACTCAGAAGAATTAGAAAAGAGTTATTGTCGACCATCAAAAGTCAAAAACTTCAATATTTTTGACATATTATTGAGTTCTTCCCCTGAATCTTTTACCCGCTATGTTACCTTCAACTTTCATTCGCTCCATGCCTTTTCTTCTTCTAGTTATATGTCCAAAATAACTCGGTACATTTTGGTTGATAGTTATAATGAGTCTAGTTTTTATGTTAAGTGCAGGGAGATAAATATCAACTTGTACTCATAATCTAGAAAAAAAAATTCTAGGAAGAAGTATACTGAAGAAAGATGTCTTTAAGAGAGTGATTTGATTGTAACTGTAATCAAAACATGTGCAAAAAAATATAACATGTGCTTAAAGAATTGTAACATCACGAAGAACTATAACGAAAAAGGCTAGGGAAAGTATTGATATACAAAGTATTCAAAAACTGTAGTCATTCTACAACTAATAAAAAATGAAAATGTACCATGGATTCCATAATGAAATTATAGAATAGTCATTAATATGCCGGATAGTATGAATATGTTTGTTTTGAATTAACAAGACGATAAAGTATCCTACCTGATTCTGTATCCATAACTCTACAATTTTGTTACCTAATATACCTATATTTCGACAAAAACAATAGAAATTATGTTTACTACATATCTTTAATCTGAAAATACAATACAATATTTAACCTACACACCTATCTCGATAGAGGTATAGTCAAAATGTAATAGGTCACACAATACAAAACTACTACCTTAAGTAAGTCATACGATATTCTAAAATTATATCTGAATTATCAAAAAGGTCCTTAAAAATAAACCAAAACACTAAACGAAAGTCTATTCTGTCACTTTAAAATTTCCTAACACTGACTGACGAATTTATGAATTCCCTAGTAATTTGTGGTTTTATAGAATGATGGGATGAATTTTTGCTTAGCGATATGAGGTACACTTTCACTGCAGTGATATACTTTTAGCATTAAACAACTTCAGCAGTGTATCAGTGCACTTACGTCTTAAAATCTCCTGTTGCCTCCTAGACCACCACCTTGGTTGCCAGTGTTGTAGCCGCCGCCGCTGCCACCTCCGTAGCCACTATTATCTGTAATACAAACGGTGAAGATTGAAGACAAAATACTTTACTTCATATAAGGTATTAATGAAATAATAATTACAAGCATTTCGTAAATAAAACATTACACATACTGATCTTACCATCATTGAAATGAAAATTGGGAAGCTTCTAACTAAAGAACTGAAATCTATGAGTGAATTATAAAGAAAGATAATCCCAAAAATACACGAGATTAACAACAGCATCAGAACATACTGTGCTAACAATTTGCACATACAAGCTCCATTTATCATAATTGGCTTAATGTACGGTGAATTGTCATTGTGGTTGACGCAAATATGTTGTAACAGTATGTCAATATAAAGTATCTAATATTTTATATCTCTTGACAGTGCCATCGACAACGAAGAAAAACAGGAAATTCAACAATGTATTCATTCAGATTGGAAGAACAGCTATGTCAAACCTCACAAAAAAAATACTAAGATTAATCTAGTGTAACTTGTTTGTTGTTTTTTCAATTATTCATCTGAAATTTGGACATTAGGAATAGAAGAGAAGAGAAAAATTCATAAAGAAATTAAAATTGGGATGTTGTATTGAACACATGAATGGTTGACCTCAACATTTTTGTCTCCCAAAAAAGAAAAATGCTAGAGAATGCACTGACCACAAGCCTGATGGCTCACACACTTAAAATGTCTTTAAAGATGATTTATAAACGCATTTACCAAATACTTGATATGGATATTGAAGAAACCCAATTTGGATTCCATAGAGGTGTAAAGAGTTCCAGAGATGCTTAAATGTGAAACAAGATATGTACGTCTGTTTCATATATTACAACAATGCTTTCGATAAAGTCCGCCACAAAGAGCTAATGGTTCACCTTTGAACTATAACAAATCTATAATATAAACAGCAGGCACACATACGCATTAATGAACACACATCAGAAGAGTAGTGCGACAGGGGTGTGTATTGTCACCACTACTATTTAATGCATAGTCTGAAGAAATTATAAAAACAGCTCTTGAGGGAGAAACAGCAGGAATAAATAAATTTCAATGGAACACCAATTAACAACATTAGATATGCGGACAATACTATCATAATAGCAGAGAACCTCCAAGACCTCCAAAAGCTAACGAACCAGAAAGTTGAGTAACGAGAAGAATATAGATTAGCAAGAAACATCAAGAAAACTAAATTTATGTGGATATCAAAACCCAAAATAACTCACAGCAACATATAATAAACCTTAACCTGAACCAACAATATAACAGTGCTAATAGTCCAGGAAAAGGAGAAGGAAAATAGAAGAGACAGATGGACTGACACAACAACAAATTTCACATAGTTAGGAAACAATACGGAATAGACAAAGGTGAAGAATCAGTGTAAAAAGGGTAATCAGAACCCTGGAATAACATCAAAATTCATAATCACTACACATCTGATATGTCAGAATAGAAGCCCAGTTTAATAGTCAAATGTATTGGCGATTATTAAATGGAAATGAAATTATATTATATCCAGCAGTACTTGTTTTGCCACCAGGGTTTACTTTATAAAGCTTCAAATATAATTGGGGCATTATGAATAAACTCAAATAATAATGTGAATTTTGTTGTGTGATTGATGTACTGGTTTTTATAATATAGAGTATTCATGGCTATCCAGAAAATAAATTAAAATAATAACGAATTATAATCTCATAAAAAGTAACACAAGAATTTAACATATCTTTAAATAAAATCTATGGGGTAGAGATGCATAAAAAAAATTACCAAAAAATAACATTGACTATCACATCATATGAAATTAATTATTTTAACAAATTTTTAAACCATCTCAACAACAAGAAGTCAAAAAAGTATTAAAAATAAAAGCTGGTCTCCATAAATTATTGTGGCCATATTACTAAATTTTGGTGTCTTAAAAATTGCTTGTTAATGAAGGGCATCTTCGTTACAAGGATAAAAAAAATTACATTAGACATAAGATTTTTTACTAAATATTTAGACATGGCACAATATTATGGAAAGAAAATATAATGGTTATTAATAAGGGGAAAGTCAATAATATATGGAATACAGTCCAGATACCATAATCTGGTATCGCAGCATACATAATCAGTGTGATATGATACAGAACAAAATGAAAAGCTGAAGCTGTAAAGTTAAATACCATAAGGTTAATGTGAATGATAGATACAAACTATCCATATCAGGGATTCTATACAGTAAGTCTATTTTTTACATCTTGTGGTTCGATAACCTATAAAAAGCTCAACAACTACAAGCAATTGTTTATCACAAATGAAAATTTATGAACTAGAAAATGAACATAGTTGAACTTTTCCTGTGATAATGAATAGTATATGTGATTTGATACATTTAGAATTTTTGTTGTTAAAACTACAAGTACAGGTAACAGCACTATTTGATAAGTGCTGTTACAAAGCAATTCAAATATACACTAATAAAATAAACCAAGAAAACATGCTTATACTTCTCTTAATGAATTAGACCTAGTTTCTCAGAAGTACTACTGCCTATCACCAAGTCTCTAATATACAGCTCTATGAAGTATTTGAACATCTCTTTTATTGCACTGATTGGATGATTAAACATTTTCTTTTGATCATTGTGTATCAAATAATATCACTAAGTACATTATGGATTACAATATACCAAAAATTGTATGGCATATATTTTAATAGTACCTTAGGCATCTATATGATTGATTAGTCAAAACAAAATCTCAATTTTATAGAATAATCATGCAGGCATAAGAAATGGAATTGGATTGTCAGAACAATGAAGTCTCTCGGTTTGCTTAAAAACAGTTTAATAATCTCAACTTGTTATGTTTGATGGATTTGGTGATATTATTTATTACACACTGCTTTTAATCTTGTAGATACTCACTCTCACTGTCCCTATTTCCAGAATTTGATGAATCTTAAGATACATAACACAAGATTAGCAAATGTTGTTACAAAAATAGACTCATAGTACTCACTATTGTATGGTCCGGGCCTTTGTTGCTGATAATTATTTCTCATAGCCCCACCTCCATAACCTTGCTGATAGTTGTTACCAAAGTTGTCTTGTCCTCCTTGTCCCCATGGTCCCGAACCTCCTTGATTGTTGTATCCTCCTGTATAAAATTGAAATGATTGTTATATATTCTATATTTACAAAAATTTTAAATTACCTTGATTCCATGCTCCTGATCCTCCTTGTCCGCCATCAAGCCCACCTTGATTATTATCCCATGGTCCTTGAGACCAGGGTCCACCACCACCACCTCCTCCATAACCTCCTGATCCACCTTGATTCCAATCTCCACCTCCACGGTTCCAGTTTCCACCTCCACCACCTATTACATCATGTAAGTTGTTTAAATTGGAATGTGTATTTGAATCATTTTAAATATTAACCATTGCTTACCTTGGTTGAAGTTTCCACCCCTGCCACCACCCATACCACCTCCTCCTCCTCTATTTGACACACGATCCATCTCTGATTTGCTTAAGGCCTTTTTAACATCGACATTCCTACCTTTGATTGTGTGGCTTCTTTGTACTGTACACAAACATAAAATGTTAATGACCCTTCCATGAATATAATTTCAACATACTTACAGATAACTTTATCTACAGAGTCATAATCTTCAAATTCCACAAATCCAAATCCCCTCTTTTTTCCAGTATCTTTGTCACAAACAACACTGACAGACATAATGCTACCAAACTTTGTAAAATAATCTTTTAGGTCTTCTTCTTCAATATCATCCTTCATTCCACCAACAAACAATTTTTTTACAGTTGCTCCAGCGTCATGTCTATCAATGTCTTGTCTCGGTATTGCTCTCTTGGGTTCAACTACTCTACCTAATAATCATAAATACAAATTAGGAATGACAACTAAAATTAATTATATGAATAATATATTGCTATAAAATTTCATGGGAAATTATATTGCTATTAGGACATACTTGTAGACTCAGGTTTTAATGAAATCAATGTTAATGTGCCATATATTAAGTACCTTTGGGTAATTTTATTGATTTATAGTTTATAGTTATATTACAAAAAAATAAATTATTTTGAAAAACAATGTTAAAAGATATGAGTTTTTTCATGCTAAAAGATGAAGTTTTTATTTGATTCTGATGGCATTATCAGCTAAATAAGGAACCAGTGAGTCCCAAGTATGTACCATTAACCCATTTATACAGCTTTGTCTATCTCAAATATCAAAATGTTAAGTACAGCTATCTCAAATAGCTTGTAAAGTTGCATATCACAATGCAAATATTTTGTCTAACTAAAACATCATTTGTACTAACCATCAACTCTGTGAGGCCTAGCATTTTGAGCATCATCAACCATATGGGCTTTTGAATATGTAATAAAGCCAAATCCTCTTGATCTTTTGGTTGTAGGATCCTTCATTACCACAACATCCACAATTGTACCCCATTTTTCAAAATGTTCCTTCAGAGATTCGTCAGTAGTGTGGAAATCGAGACCCCCAATAAAAAGTTTCCTGAACTGCTCAGGTTCTTGGTGCTAAAATTAAATAAATTATTGGAAATTTTTCATAATAAAATTTACAAAGGAGAGATGGTATTATAGGATATATGCTTTTATTTTTATTTTAGTAAATGTTTAGAGAACCATAATAAAATAAAACTTGATACTGATCTAAACATTTATAACATAATACACAATATTCTATTATTTATTTGGGAAAACTCTGCATTAACTTAGATTGTCCTGACACTGTGACAAGAATTGTGCTTTTGGTAGCCAGGCATCTTGATCGGAATAGCCAGTTTTTCATGTTTGTTTGGTCAATAAAAGAACTACAATAAATAGGATTGTAGTTTAGATAACACACACACTGCCTTACCCACCAGATTACTTCTTTTGTGCTGGGTTAATAATTCATTAATTGCATTGCTGTTGTGTTTGTGTGCATGTATTGTGTCAAAATAGAAGCTTAACCACTATAATCATGATGACATCATGATTTCCTTGGTTAATACTTTCACTGCAAGAACATTCTCCTGTGCAGAACGAATTTTTTGATAGCATATATAAAAACTATATAATGGGCCAAATTAAAATATATAACTAATTCAGATGTTTGACTGTTATTATTTTTGTTTGATAGTTATAGTAATGCTAAATAAACAATATTTTAAATTATAAATAATCACAAAACATAATTAATATTTTATTCAACCCACATAACCTAATAATTTCATAAGGATCATTAAAATATGTAATGACAGCTAAATAATGGGACAGTATGAAATAACTGCTAAAAAACCACACTAGATAAGACAATTAGACTGGGAAAACAATGCAGACAGATACTGTAACAAATATCCAACTATATTCTACAATTAATTTCTTGTCAAATGGCGTTGTTGTTGGCAAATGGGTTGATAAACAGGAAGTAATGTATATATACACTGATTTCAGCAATATTGTGATGAATGTGAGATCAAACGAAAACAAAAAAAGCTGTTCCAATCGCCGAATATAATAAAAATATGATTGGTGTTAATTGCAAAGATCAAATGTTATCATACCATCCTTGCAAAAGAAAAACCCTTCGCTGGTACAAAAAATTGGATATACGTATACTACAAGTGATTTTAGTAAACTCTTATTTTTTATTTAACAAATATTCTGGAACAAAACTGTTTCTTTATGACTTTGGACTAGACATTAAGAAATTTACTACACTCTCTTCAGAAAAATGTTCCTAAAACATTAAATAACTTGTCTGAATGGCATATTTTGAGCAAAACAGCTGAGAAAAATACAAAAGGAGAAACGAAACATAAAAAGTGCAGGGTGTGTACAGTGAATAAAAAACAAAAGATACGATGTATGAATGTCTTATTTGTATTGACAATCCTGGTCTTTGCCTTGGTGCATGCTTCATAACATACCCTAAGGACTGAAAATTACTCTAGTTGGTGTATTTTTTGTACTATTTGTTACCTATAATGTTCAAGTTGCTCTTATTATATTATTTTTAGTGTATGTTTTGTTACTTTTCAAATAAAACATATTTTTTGTAGCCTTTATTTCAAAAATAAAACACAGATCCGAGTCTGTTAGCATTTGGTGTGAAAATTTAAAGTGTAGTGCTATGGTGCTAATGGGTCGGATCCGTGACCCTTTGACAATTGTTCCCAAATGTGGCATATAATGTCTAACATCTAAAACATCATATAAAATACCAACAACTAACTCTTATCACTGTTTGTTGAAACAAAGTTCCTAGCACCTGGCATGTTCCTATTAGATTATGTATGCACTGAACTTGTTAACAACAATGGAAAAAGAAAGACATTACAGAAAGAACACCTTAGAATGCTAGGAAGGAAAGTACTTAGAGCAATATTAGGACCAATGGTACTGATATCATAATCAATACAACTTTCAAAAGACAATTCCATATATGCCCACTAAGTAAAATGTAGCAACAATGTAGACACTCATTGTTGCCAAATATATGATTTTGTTGAAGAATAAAAATAATAATTTTAAATGTACATTTTAGTAACTACTCACCCTAGTAGGCAGGCGGATGTAATTTGGCTGCAGCAATGAAAAAATGATGTAACCTTTCAAAATGAATGTGAAATCTTCTTTTAAAATAAAATTCAGCAAGATGGCCTACAAGGTGATCTTGCTGTACACCACGTCTAGGAATTATGGATCTAACTTCCCTCCACAATTGTTTCACATGAATGCTGGGAGTGTCAGGGTCCACAAAATATTTAGAATGATTAACAGTCTGATCCACAAAGCCCTTGTTGTTCAAACAATCATACAATTTCCAGCAATCACTATGAATAATTGTCCCGGGAAGAATCCATTCTCTAATTATTCTAAGCAAAGTATCAGCATCCATTTTTTTCACAGGTACTAAAAAGCAGTTATTGGACTTTCGTTCAAATCCACCAACTGCCCACTGTCCAGTATAAAGGTGATCTCCTTTATACTTCCTCCTCCCAAACTTTGCTACATCAAATTCTACAATTGTATTAGGTCCCCCCAGTTTCACGGAATTGTTTATAACAAAACTTTGAAAAACTTCCCTGCAAAACCAGACCCAATTTATCATTGGCCTGAAGAAATCTTTAACTCACTCCACACTAAGTCTTTTCTCGGGGGTACTATGTGTAACAACATGGTCACTAAAAGAAATATTTTCTCCATCGGAATACTAGCTTCCTCAAAAAAGGTTCTCTTTCTAGAAGAGAGAAAAAATCCACATCTCCTGGACCTTTGCTTGTTCTTGCTTACTAGTTTGTAACATCTGAAATTTCCTTCGCTATCGACTTTTAATTCTCTGCCACATCGACACACCGTCGTTTCTTTTAGAACACCATGATCATATAAGAACTTCAAGAAGTATTTCTTATCAGTGTACCTTAGAGCACCAAAAAATGGAATGGAGCATGTGGTGCACGCCATTTTTTTCTTCGCAGTTTAATAAACACGCCTAACTTTTTTTAAACACTGTGAGTACTGTGAACTGTGAGGAAAAAGAAGGTACAAGTGGTAGAACTGGTAAAAAAAGGATTTGAGAAAGAGAAACAGCTTCATCCCTAACATGTAGTTGTTTATAGGGTACCAGTGTTGTCAAGTTTATATTTTCTTAGAAATATGCCAGCAGACGAATTTATGGGCATTTATATAGACATTATATTAAGTAAAATTCAAAATGATAACATGTTATTCTTTTAAAATGTATTGGACCGTGTATAATTTCCTTAGTTTGAACTTTTTTTAAGCAAATATTGAAACTCTGGCAACACTGCAATGAGAGGTAGAAATTGCCTACATTCTACCAATTCTACATTTGATAAAACTTAATGAAATAAAATGATTCACTGTCACTGGGCAATTTTCAAACAGAAATTCTAATTTAGAACATCTTGCCATCGAACAAAAATATAGTTTATACCGAATTTCCTCTAAAGCATAAAGAGTATATATACATATAATTTCACCTCTTAGATTTCCTAAATTCTAGATTCTAAATTTCTTTATAATGTACAAATGGCTGCGCGAATACAAACATTAAAATTTCAGATTATTGTACAAAATGTAGAATATATTTTGTAAATTTCCACGGTAGACTATATATAAAACATACTGTTCTAAAATAATCATTTTCTTTTTGAGTTTTTTTAAAATATGCCGCGTCAGCATCAATGTTGATCGATTAAAATAAAATTTACTTACTTTATTATCGTCTCCTTTCATATTGAACCTTTACTCACCACCAGGTCAAGGCGTAATTTAAAATAGAGAGAATGTAATTATTATCTATTACTCAAACCGCTTCCACTTTAACTAACACTAAAATTCAATAATAGAATAATGAATAATAGCTCAATGGCTGGTTAAAAATGGTAAAAGAAAAGACGCAACGCAAGAGCAAAAGACGCAATTGCCATTATTGCCAACTGTTATTAAAAAGGAGGGGCACATCCTACACTGTTGCCAGAGAATGTAACATATTACAATCAATAGTTTCTAAAATGTATTACTTAGGTAATCCGAGTATGTCTTTGAGTTTAAGTCTTTTATATTAGAAAACTCTAAATGCTCCAAAGTAAAAGAAAACATTTTATTACTATTTATTTAGCTAAAGCTTAATCCAGCATAGAGGCCACATAAGTAACTTTTTTGAAATCATACAACACTGTTAATATAGGAAGAGGAAGACAGGGCGGTAAAAAAGCAATTTAAAAAAAAATTACCTTTTTGGTATAAAATATTGGGTACAAACAAATAAGATATTCTTGAATTTTTTAATTAAAGATTAACAAACTTTTTATATAAATAAAACACAAATTAAATTAAGGGTATATTTAATGTGGGTGAAAAATGACATAACAGAAGTTAATTTAAAAAGAAGAATTATTGTATAAGGTTATGTTATCGTTTATTTATGTTTATGCTAAAGCCTAAAGTTAAGTTTACAAGGGTATTTGTTTTACTTAAATCTTTAAACATATTTTAAATCGAATCTAGAAAGAAGATATGGTTAAAAGTAAGTACATTGTTTCTTAAAAAGATGATTAAACAAATCGAAGTATTTATTTTATTAGCTAGAGGTAAAGAAGATAATCCAGAGGTGGTGGTACCTGTGCCAACCGACACTCCTGGAACCACAGAGGAATTTTCAGTTGAAAAGATTTTAGATAAAAGAACAAGAAATGGAAAAATTGAATATTTGTTGAAATGGAAAGGCTATAATGAGTAAGTAATCACAAAAAATTATCAGTACCATTTATTCTGTATTTTTTAGGGAAGACAACACTTGGGAGCCAGAAGAAAACCTTGACTGTCCAGATTTAATAGCAGCCTATGAGGCTCAGTTTGAACTAACAAGCACTGCAGATGATCCAGAAAAATCAAAAAGAAAAAATATTACTGAAGACAATAGAGCAAGAGGTTTTGATAGAGGACTTGAACCACATAGGATTGTGGGGGCAACAGATGCAAGTGGTGAACTTATGTTTTTAATGATGTGGAAAAATTGTAAGGAAGCTGATCTAGTTCCAGCAAATCAAGTGAATGCCAGATGTCCAGAAATTGTCATTAGTTATTATGAAAATAAGAAACAATGGTATAGCAAGAGTGCTGTTATTGAATTAGATTAAATTATAAGGATAGCATACTTATTTCACACAATTTTATACAAAAAACACTCAATAAAAGCAAATGATTTAGAAATTTTAGTTTCAATTACTTTATTTAAAAATATATTTCCACTCTTATAGAATTCTTCCCATCTCTTATTTGATTTAAAAATGCTATATTGTTAATAATAAAATGAAATACAAAACTACTGTTTTCAATTTAAAATTACTTCTGAAGATGTTCCAGTAAATTACCAGAAAAAGTAAACAAGAAAATTTGTTTTTTAATGGATTTACTGCCACTAAAAGTTAAGTATGCTGTTTATTTTTAACATTCATTGATAATATCAGTTATACATAATATCTAAGCATTTAAATTATTTTTTCGTCTGAAATTAAACTTGAATAAAGACACAGGAACATGAGGATATACAATAAATTGTTTTATCAAAGTCAAAGAGATAATAAATTCAATTAGTTTGTATTATATGTTGCATAACCATGTTGTCAGTTAGGAAGTTAGGTTAGATGTCAAAGTCAAAGTGTTATTGCACTTATTTTTCCTAAAAAGTGAATGTATGTGTTTGTAAGTGCATGTGTTGTAGTCGTCACCAAAAGCAAAAGTATAATTCACGGCGTAAAACATGCGATAGGTTAGACGTACTCTTGTCGGCTTTATTTTTTTACAATTAGTTAAATATAAAATAACTGAAACATGTTAACAACAGATGATTTTTTACTAGACGATTATGTATTCAAAAGTTCTCCAGAGTCTTGTAGTGACCATTCCAGTTCTACAGGTAAAATGAAACACCCACTATCATTTACACAATTAACTACACCAAAGACTCAAGGGTTATTGACAGTTATTAGTATTTATTATTTTATTCTAAACATATTAAGTTATGTTTTAAATTATATAGTTTCTTACAGGAAGTATACCTAAAATATTAATTTTATTTACATTTTTAGATTTTATGGAAGTTACTTCTGATGAGGACTTCCTTACACAACTATCAGCAGATTTAGACATACCTCTTTTACTTAACCAAGGTGAAGATGAACTTAGTATGTTAAATTCGTTACTCTTTGACAAAAGTCCAGAAGAGATTTTGTCAGAAACAGCTTCACCGCCTTATATTCCAGAAGATGACTTTCCTAAAGAGATTTCAGAGCTGCAAAAAATGGATTTTTCACAATGTGGTCCTGAGTCATTTCCTAATCTTCATTCTGATATTAAAAATGAACCTGTTGATAGTCCCCGATCGAGCAAATCAGTTTCCCCAATATCTTTAGAACATATAAAAGATGAAGTTAGTATAAAAACCCCACCTGCCTCACCAATCATTATAAACACAGTAAAAGAAGTGCCCAACAATGTGATCTTTGCTCAGCCAGTAAAATTATTATCACAGTCACATAATTTACCTCAAAAACATATCCCTATAATTCCAAAAGCTCACTATTCATTACCAGTCTCAAAAAATAATGTAGTAGTTATTAACACTGACTTAAAACCTGTAGTGAAACCACACAATGTGGTCTTAGTTGAAAATGTGAATGTAACTACTGTACCACAGATACCTGTGCCTAATGTGCCAGTAAATACTGTCACTAATCTTAATAAGCCTGTGACGGTGCCTTCAGTAGTGATAGATAGAACCAATAATTTTTCTTTGAATGGAAGAAACATAGATCCCAAGATACTGAAGAGACAACAAAGAAAAATTAAGAATAGAGAGTCAGCTAGTTTGTCAAGAAAGAAAAAGAAAGATTATGTCACCTCCTTAGAAGAACAGGTTAAAGAACTAAGTGCAGAGAATAAGAGACTACAAGCAGTAAGTACCTTTTTGATTAATTTAATTAATAAAAGTAAGCTTATTAGTTTTTACTGAAGATATAAATGTTTTTATACTGCTTCAAATTTAAGCTTGACTTGAAAAACTTGCTGGTAAAAAAATAATAAAAAAATGTTTAATCATGGAATATTTTATACAAATACACTAAACCAAACAAAACACCAAATTATCCTTCAAAACTCTGTACAGGGAACTAGGCACTCTGTGAAATCTAAGCCAACTGTCCCATATTTATGTTATTACCATTGCATTAGGATCAAATTTACCAGGTTTGCTTGCTCATTCTTTTATACATATGTTATTATGTTATAGTCAAACCTTGAAGCTATGATGTTCCTAGGTTTGACTAGTCAATCCTAAGATCTGACTTAGGGTCTTAGTCAAAACCCAAATAAATGATGTTTTCAGCTTTTGACTAAAGAATTTTCGTCAAACCTATGATAGATTAATTTGGTTAGGCAAACATCAAAACTTCACTTTAATGCAAATGCCAATTCTTTGTTGTACATCCAATTGGGTGGAGGCAAGCAAAAATTTGATTTTGTTGCCCACCCATTTAGATAGACACACACACTATATTCAGAGTTTATGGAAAAATTGCCTGCTACTTAATGTGTTACCACAACCTGGAGCTCTATTTCCTTCTGTTATTAAGATGTGACCAAAATATTCAAGCTTTTGTTTTTGTTTAGTAAATAAAACTTCATGTTTTTATCCAATCTTAAAGGACATTCATTTCACACTCTACCCATCCATGATAATCTGAGCATCCTACGGTAGCACCAGATCTCAAAGGCAACCAGATTTTTACACAGGGCATTAGTAAATGCAAGCTCAATACATAACCTGAGCACCTTCAGGTTAAGCCCAGAATCATAACTTTTGAATGCAACCTGGTCAAGCAACTCTTGTAAACCCTCAATAGTGTATTCTTGGAATAGTTTAGGTTGTTTATTTTACCATGGTTGTCGTCTTTGCAATTATAGAGTGCATTCTCTAATATTTTGTTGCTATAAACATTGAATCACAGCAGAGATAGTATGTAATCCTGACAATCACCTCTTCTAATTCTGACCTCTTCAGATAACTGGTCTTCAACTTTTATGTTGGCAGTCTAGCTCCAGTACAAGTTGGCAATTAACTTCAAGAGACTTTTACGTGTTGGACATGATTAAAAGCCTTTTCATAATCTATAAAAGAAGCATATATTGGCAATGACCCATCCCTAGAGTGTTGGACTAGAACCTGAATACTAAATAAGGCTTCTCTTGTTCTTAAACCTTCATGAAATCCAAACTGCTTACTACCCATAAAAGATTCAGATTTTTTATGAAGTCTAATATGAAATACTTTTAAAAGACCATAAAAGTCTTGTTTAATATATAGTCCAAGCTGTAGAGACAAAAATGAATGATTTTGAACATTAGTATTAGTGAATTATTGCCGTGAAGGGCAATGTCTGGAGTAAACTCACAAGTATTTGCAACTGCAAACTGTTGGTTATAAATTTTTTATGGCTTTAAGGTGTAAAAATGGTGTTTTTGATTATTTTTATTGTGTCAAATTAATATTTTAGGGTCACATGAGCATAATATTGACTAAAAGTACTTAAAAAAGCAATAATTTGAGCTAAACTACATTAAATTTGACCCAATAGTTCATGTAAAATTAACAATTGAAGTCCAAAAATGTGAATTCACATTTTTTTAATATTCTTCTTTACTCCAAGCATTGCTCTTAACCCTGTACTGGTTTCAAAAATTCACTAATTGTTGCTCAAAATCATTGATTTTTATCTCTACAGCTGGACTAGTGTGCTGGGTAGACAGGAAAACCAGTTAAAACCAAACCAATTCGGCTAAACGAAAAAGCATGTTTTGACTATAAATGACAGTTTTTTAAAAATGCTAAATTTACAGACATGGTTGTTCCTACTGTATTATAGCGAATACAATAAATTTTTCTTGCCTTGTACAAAAATTTTTTATCTAGGTTAGTGTACAGATAAATATGTTATAAATTCATTCATTTATACAAAGTATGAGAATGTTTTGTTTTTATTTTTCTGTTTTAAGCAGTGTTATTCAGTGAATACATTTACATCCATTATAGAGAGGATTTTATAACATGTTGGTGGAGGTCACCAATGTTTATGTTTTTATTTATAGGCAGAAAATAAAAATTATTTTGTAAGATATTTATTTATTTATCGTAGATAATAAAATAATAGTTTAACAAAGAAATACAGTCCTTCAAAAACTTAAAGAAATGCAGAGTATTCCTACGCAAATAAATTTTACCTGGTGACAGTGTGGAGACATTTTCTGACAGTAGCTATTTGTTGGGGTAGTGATCACCCCATTTTTGTTTATTTATAAAATTGAGAAAATATTGTATTTTTACATGCAATCTTAAGATTTTAAATCATGGTTATATTGTTATATATTCTTTGTCAAATTTATATCATTTTAAAAATTTCCGTTAAAAAATTCAATGATTCAAAAAATATACTAAAATTTAGTATTAACCAAACTTTAATATTAGTTCCAAACCAAGTTATTTTAAGAAAATCTGCGCTTTAGTTTTTCAGTTGGCTTGTTATGTTGTTAAATAATATAACTATTTATTCCTGCATTATTAAGCAGTAAAAAAAATTTTTTTAGATGCCATCGCTTGCTATTACGAGACACATTATATAACGCAGACATTTCGTCAACCATATCCACGCCATCTTTTATGTGATTATAAAAGTCTATAATCTGGGGATTATTTTTATTTGATTTTGATTTGGACTCATCATGATGAAGTGAAGAAGCTACTAACACTCTTTTATTTTTCTTCGGGACAAAGGACACCAAAGAAATGTCTTTTTAAATCCGAAAATTGCATGGTTTTCAACTGTTATTTTGGAATTCAAAAAGATTGTCGGTATTTCCCTCTTGTTTTTACGAATAGTTCCAATAGATGTTAACGAATGTTCACTAAGCAAATGTTCCATTAGCAGTATGCTGTTAAACCAGTTGTCGAATGTAATGTTGCGGTTAGTACCACGTATTATTACATCAAACGGTCGATTATTGAATTGAAAATGTTCTTCAGGCTGTGAGCCAACATATACCTCTAAATTTAAAATGTAGAATGCTTTGGCATTCACTAAGGCAAATATTTTAATGCCATATTTGGACGGCTTGTTGGGGATATATTGACGAAAGGATAACGTCTCCGAAAAATTACAATTTATCGATCGTCAAGTATCGACTAGGAATAAAATATTGTCGACAATTGGATACAAATCGATCAAAAACAGCTCGAATAGCTGCCAATTTATCTATTCTTTTTCGTTTTTTCTATATTTGTGATATTATTGAATCGTAGGCACTTTAAAAGTAATGTAAATCTTTGCAGGGACATTGTTAGCCTGAAAATGTCAATTCCTATTCCATCTATAGCCCAAAGATCCTCCAGATTTAACTTATTTGCTTTATAAACGCCTGATAGATATAATTATCTGAAAACTGCACGAATTTCTTTTGCATCTGTAGGCTTGTGATATACTTATATTGGTCATTATAATTCTGGTCTTTCTATTAGTGCATTGGACAATATCTTCTACAATAATATTATCCATGAATAATTCTCAGCAAGAAATGGGCAACTTGCAATGCCTTGCATTATTTCGAACACCATTTATATACTGAAATTTATGATGCAATACAACAGGGGTCACCAATTATATTCCTTGAGGGTCCGTTTCAAAAACCTAATACACTTCTGCAGTCCAGACACTCAGCACTAAACCAGGTAGTGGCGCAACCGGGACCCTACAGTAGTTGTAAACTCTCCTCAGTATCCTAATCATCCAGGTTACGTAGTTGAAACCAGGCAACTTGAGCCACCTCGTTTAGGGAGAAATATGAAATAAACTCGAAGGAAAAAGATGATTATAAAGCTATTACATATATTGGTTTTTCTCCCGTCTTTGTTTAACAAATTTTTGCGGCGTAATTTGAAATATTTGTTTCTTAGAACTTAATTTAACCATTTAATGCTACTGTTTCTGGTTGTTTTCTTTCTGCAACTATAGTGTTCAACAATTTAATGGAACAGATCTAAATCTATTTAAACATTTAAATTTTAGTAACAGCTTATCTTAAATAGCGTTTGTTTATAACTGCAGTTCTGTACATTTTAACAGAATCTTCCTGATACTCGATCATTTCCATCTGAAGGGCCACTTTTGTTTGTTACACAAACATCTGCTGCTTCGCTGGCCCATACACGATTAGGCTTGAGTGAAAAACTGTTGCTTAACAGTTGCATATTTTCAATTTTGTGGAAATCAGCAAATCGTTTTTTAATTTCCAAATCAAGTTCACTAATAAAACGTGAGAACTGGGTAACATCAATATCTTTATTACTATTACAAATGGATTTGAGGAGAGGAAAATACAAAAGTTTTGCTTTAATATCCCCATAAAAAGTTAAATCTTTGTAGAAAAACTTTTAACATCCGACAGAAGTGCACAAACAAGTGTTCCCTTGCGTTGTAGTTTTAAATTCAAGAAGTTCAGATATCTGAATATATCCGCCAAAAATGCGATAGTTACAACGTTTTCTGTGTTCCAAATGAAGACCAAATGGTCATTTGCAGCTTCATTATCAATAGTGGACTAGTCCTAATCAATAGTCAAAAAATTTTATGTTTTCAAGTATTGCAAAGAATCTTTCAAGCACTAAACCTTTGCTCAGCCATGTTATGAAGAAGCAAATCGTCAAAATGAGCAGTGTCTTCTAGGAATGATTTGAATTGACGATGCCTCAAAGATGATTTTGCACGTATAAAGTTCACTATCCTCATGATTGAAGATCGTGCTGCATTTTACTGTGAAGATTTTGGAGTTAAGGGCAGTCCTCAAAAAAACGCTCACGGTCCGCCATTTGGTGACCCCTGCATAAAAGGTCTTTTATATTATGGGAAG